CAATAGTTTGCTTCCGCTAAAGTAGAGCTAGGTCACAATTGTGCAAGTAATCATTTATATTATTTTGTTAACTTATAGACGCGACCGATCACACCGCGAGATTCCATCATCACTTCCATCAAAATTCTCAGAACGAGTGGACGTGCTCATAGACCAACTCAAACTTCACGTGGTTTACTGTTTTTATATAATCATTAGATATAAGTATATATAAACCCTTTTGGGGTAAGTGTCTGGACTTGTTAGTAGGTAGTGCTTTATATTGTTTTTTTTATAAATAATTTTTATAAAACACGCTTGGTCACAATCTCACCTGTGGTATATCAACGACATAAGGATGGAGTATTCCGGACCTTCTAGTCGACCGAAAGAGGAACGGTGAGGGTGGAGCTAAATTGAAAAGTACCTGCACACGCTCCCCGAAATGTATTCGATAGAAAACCGACAAGCAGGCTACTTTTCTATACCATTGTAATTTTTTGTACCATTTTGTTATTGATTGTCATAGCCTTTTCATTTCTATTTGTAAATAAATTTATATGAACTGAGCGTTCTCATACATTTCGCTAAGGCTAGGCCTCACACTATGTTGTAATACTTCTACAATTGCGTTTATCGAATAATTAAACTACAAACTTAAATTAAAAAAAATAAGTTCATTTTGTATACAGGAATAGCTTCAAATAATAAAAATGAATCAAAACTACAACAAAAATAACAATCTCTTAATAATTCTTTTAGACCATTATTGGTTGCTTTATAAATTATTTCCGTTAAGGTAAAGGCAAATATTTAAAACCAACTCCTGTGCCTCTACCATGAGTTCACAGTAACAATTATCGTTAGCAACAGCGTCAAATATTTGCATAGGTACATAATGTTATTTCTTCTCGTGGTCGCTAGGGGCGCTGCTCAATTAGCCATACAAAATTATAAAACATTTTAACAGTCTCTGTAATCTCATGTTAAGAGGTACTGGTGAATTTTAATTTTGGTAGTTCTAAGCATACGCCAAGTGTTCAGTCCATTCTTCAGCGGGTCGCAATAATAATAATAATAACACACACACTCAACATAGCCCCGCACTAGGGAAACCCTGTGTCGCGGGTGCCATGGACACACATATAGACAACCACAAATTACACCCAAACTCACGAGAGAAATAATTGTAGGCCACACAAATATTTCTCCCGGCCCGGGAATCAAACCTGGGACCTCTGCGTGGCAGTCCGACATGGTAACCGTTCGGCCATGGAGGCAATGCCGATTTCATCCAAATTAACTGCCTCTGTGGCCGAACAGTTATGGCCGGACTGCCACGCAGAGGTTCCAGGTTCGATTCCCGGTCCGGGAGAAATATTTGTATGGCCTACATTTATTTATCTCGTAAGTTTGGGTGTAATTTGTGATTGTCCATGTGTATTTCCCTGGTGCGCGGCTATGTTGTGTGTGTGCATTATTAAAAAAAAATCCATTCTAAAGATTTTGTATAGGAGAATTTTGAATGTATAGTTTAGTAACAGTAGAGCTCCTTGTGAAAGAGTTGAGACAAATACTTACACCTTACCTATTTCTGCCGTCAATGAGTATTATTGTGTTCCGGTTATGAAGGGTAAGGATGATGGTGAAATTACAAGCACATGGGACTTGTCAACTTATGTCTCACGGTAACGGGCGCAATGGCAGCCCTCAAATCTTTTCAATTTAAAGCTCTGAGTGGTACTGAAATTGTCATGAATAGACGTGTCGCTTTCCACCAGGTGCACGGCATGTTCGCATACAAAAAATTTACATTTACTACTACGTTCTTGACAGGATTAGGTGCATCAATTATTTAAATCACAGCACTCACTCCCTCGAATTTGAAAAAAATTGAATGCATCCATTCATCAAAATAGAATGATTTATGAGCGGGAACTCTTTCAGTAAATACAAATGAGGGAGAGAAGGACGTTGGGTCACTGCCAAAGTGTAGGCTGATTAATGATTTTAGAAGCACACGGGGAAAATAAATCCACATGTACGGACAAACCAAAGGGAAAGAACGGACTAATTTCGAAAGTCCGTTACGTCCCTTTTTCTTAAAAGTGGATTAAACAATTGAAAAAAAGTGTGTTTTTCAAGTCCGGTTTACCATTCTCAAAATATTTCTCTTTTCAAGCAGCAGTCTTGAAAAAAACCTGTTGTATTAATGTTATAAAATGACAATATGTAGAAAACTAATATAATGATGATGCGTTGTTACAAATTATTGTAGAAGTTCTCTTGCAAGTTAAAGTAAAATCAGTCCATTTTTTTTTAAGTACACACTGATTTCATGTTATTGTAATAACGCTCAAAGTATACTTTTTGCATTTTAATTTCAATACACACAACATTTTATATGAACCGAACCTGATATTCATATTTGTACAGGTCTACAGCTTAACTGAGTTGGTTCCTGAGGTAGCTGCGCGGTGCGGGAGGAGTAACAGTTTACAGAACAGTTATATCGCACTGCACATGGGACAATTTCAACAAGACTTTTCTGACGAGATTTAATAACAAGTTGACTGGAAAAAGTGCCTACGAAATTAATAAATAATTGTTGTCCCTCCGTCCATTTGAATTTACCTGCTACGGTCACCTGGAGAATTTGTGGATTTTTTTGTCCACGTGGATCCCTTATTAATAATGACGTAAACAGAATCCACTAGGGGATTCAGTTGGAATTTATGTTCCTGAATGATTGTATGTATGTATGATTTAATTTTTGCTGTGCGCACATCTTCCAGTGCATTATTCCGGATCCTACTATTTTTGTTTTACATTTTGCTACCAATACGTTTGGATAGTAAAGAGTTCCACCCATTTCACTACGCCCTCAACTCACCACATTCACATTTCAACATGTTCTTTGCGCACCATATTTTATGTACTTATTACAATGTAATGTTATAAATGTATTAAAAATTTTGGAGATTGAAGGGATTGTTGTTGTGTGAAAGGATAATAAAATAAAAAAAACTATTTCTTTGATAACTGAAATTAATAGACAAGCCATCTGGCACTCTTTGAATCAACGTGTTATTGAATATCGTCTGACAAATCTTGTTGAAACTGACGTAAACTGCCACTCCTCCCGCACCGCGCAGCTACCTGAGGAATCGACTCTGTTAAGCGATAAGCCTGTAAAATGTACTCTACCTATAATCTACGTCTAAGAACTACTTTAGATATGTTAAACTAAATGGAGCTACAAATTGTTTCCTTAGTATTTATAACGAAATCACTTCTTACAAAATATATATTTTATTTATTTAACCATTTCGATGTACAGCAAAATTGCTACTTGGTATTGAAGCAATAGCTACAGCTTTTAATAGTTGTTCATAGTATAAAACCCATGTAAACTTAATATATTGTAATCATAACATACATGTAAGGTACAATAAAAGCTTAAATACTAGAAAGTAAGGATTTCATCAGGATCAAGGATTAAATTATATGAATAAAATTGGGTCCCCGCAGCAAGGTCAGGACGCTGGCAGCGTTCCCCCTTTGTATGGCTATGTTAATGCGTTGGGCAACGTAACTGCCGGCTCTTGGGTTTCCCAGGCGGCCTATTAATTTTAAAACCTATGTTATATCAATTTAGAACAATTTCTTTAATGCTATGTAATGACTGTTCCATGTGTACATACCAAACTCAAATAGAAATAATTTTTTGTAACAGTTTTTTGGTCCTGATATAAATAAACATTCTATTTTTCGAGACCATATTGCTTTCCAGCGTCAATATAATAGTTTTATCTAATTAACGAAATTCACAAAGAAGTGGTCAAGTTACAAAAACACCAAACTTAAAAATAAAAAATTAATACTGACGCAAAATAAATGATTATAGCTATCTAACTATAAGCAACGACATACTACCTTCTAATTTAATAGGTATTAAAATACTGTACATGACCCTTTATAAGAAGAGACTCGTGTTCATCGGTGAGATGTACGTGCAAATGTCTGTTATAGGTTTAATGATACCCTTTATTAACGACTCACGCACATTACGAGGACTGTCAACACTAAGCAGTGCGAGCCCACACACTACACATAGAAACGTTTTTGTACGACGAATGGGCGGTATACGAAAAGACAATTAAGTTCATGTTATACAATTTTTTTTTGTTTTAAATACTTGTGAAATGTAATAATAAATGACAATAATATACACAATATATCAAAATCAAAGCCAAATATTCATTTATTCCATATTAAAATTTTTCACATGAAATCGTTTTCAAAAAGTCGTCTTTTTAAGCTACTGCTCGTTCACTGTGCTGACTACCCTGAGAATAACGAGCAAGATACTCTACGGGTTGCTTTTTCACAACTTAAATTCTATGGAATACACTTTGAATGATATTTGTGTGAATCTTTATCTAATACATAGTATTCTATTTTGTAATCTTGCAATTAAAATACGTTTAATGTAAGTTTTAAACTTAGGAAATGAAGATCTTAGTACACACTCAGGAATCTTATTGTAAAAACGTATACAGTGCCCCATAAAACAATAGTTTAGTTAAACGAAATGGTGGTACTTGCATGCACCTTTTCAAATGACAAGTAAATCTGGCCTTAAACGAATACAGTTCATGGTTATGAATAAACAAGTAAAAATAAATATCACCAATGACACCTAGAAACGTCTAGAAACACTGATATTTGGGTCTCGCGTCATTCCATGAAAAAAAAATGTCTTACAAATAATATTTTTGTTTGATTTAATCTTAGGATTTAATGGTTAGTGCCTTCCAATCGTTTGTTTCGCAAACAAATATGCGATTTTGATATGAAAACTAGTTTCATTTTACTAAATAACTTGTGCAAATGTGAAATAAAAAATGCGCTTACAACACTTTATGTTTTTATTTTTATTTATTTGTATTTATTAAGAATATTATTAGTAATCGGCATTTATACATATAATTTCAATATCATTTAAATGCCAAAGTATCTCGCATTGTAATGCGTTTGTTATGTGTATATATTTTTTTATTAATGCTTTAAATTTTGAATAAACAACGCAAGATTCGATTACCGAAATTCAAAAATATTTTGTTAGCTATAACTTCTTCCGTCAGTGTGCAGCTCTTCATACTTTCCCAACGATCTAGTTCTAATTCACAGAAAGTAAACTAAGGGGGGTTTTGCTGGTAATGTTCTGCGAAATATTATTTAAAGTATACAATTATTTTTAAAGTTGATAATGCTAAGTCCCGCTTAATTTAATTCCTATAAAAAAGGAGTACTATCGTCAGTACCGTGAAATTGAACGCACATAAGTAAGAGCCCAGAGTGTACAAGACAAGAAGCTGAAAACAAAACAACATCGGTTTTTTAGTAAATCATACGTAAATCAAAATATAACCTAAAGATGTAAATCGGGATGAGTCCCAATTCTCGAGCAATTTGTGGCTAATCCTCAGAGAGCCTATACTCTAGCTAAATTCGATGTAGAATGTTTAATAACAAACGTTGCTAGGCAACCAATGATGGCATAGGAAAATTACATTTTTTTCAATGCTCATTATTAAGGCATATAATTGCATCATATAAAGCAAGTCCTACATGCAAATAAGTTGAGGATTCCACGCCAATGCCGCAGGCCCCGTGTGAAACCACCAACAGTCGAGCGAAGACCTGCCATCTTAAGGCCCATTTAGATGGAGAGAGTTTCTCGTCTCGAAGGTACGATTATCGAAAGAATATAAAAAACTTTCCTCGTCTAAACATTCGCGATTATCGTGTAAACGTGTGCGATAATCGCCTCGCCTTTCAATATTGAATGTCTCCGTGTAAACACAACTCGAAAGCAAAAATCGTATTTCGAGTTTCTGTGCTAGCCGTTTCAGAGGTGTTACAGACAAGATCGGAAGAGTCCTCAGGCGCGCATCTATCAAGACCTATTTCAAGCCCCTGAGGAAGATTTCTCAGTTCCTGAGACCCGTGAAATGTAACATCCCCTTACAAGATGCAGGAGTTTACAAGCTTGACTGTGAGTGCGGTCTCTCTTATATTGGACAAACAAAGCGAAGTATTTGTACCCGCGTCAAAGAACATATCGCTGATGTCAAACACCGTCGCGTAAACAAGTCTGCAGTCTGCGAGCATGTCATGGATAAACCTACACATTCAATGAAGTTTGACAAACCCCAGGTCCTTGCAAAAGAAGTCCGTTATCTGCCCAGGATGCTGCGAGAGGCCATTGAAATTAAAAAACATCCTAATTTCAACAGGGAAGATGGTTTCTCCGTACCACCAGTTTGGGATCCAGTATTTCCTCTAATGAAAAATCCCAAACAGACATAAGACTGCAGTACTAATTAATGTTTTAGTTTAGTTTATTCTAATTTCTATTAATAATTAATAATAAATTAAACTTAATAAAAATTCATTCAATAAAATAATTTGTAAAACTTAATGTAGCGTAAATTGGAATGTTTTCTTTGTAAAATTAAAAATAAGGTATTTAATTAATAACTATTGTAACTATAGTGAAAAAATAGGGTGGTTTGCATTAATATTAGACATAACTGGTTGAAGACTGTACCACCTCAGTCAACCGTGACCATGGGACCTGTAAAGGGCCCGAAACGTCGGTTTGTTTGAAAAAACAAATATACGCGATTTAAATCCGGAAAAATAGTTTAATTTCCTAAATAAAAATAAATGTTTGCATCCTATTAATATTTACTGCTAGATGGTAGGTAATGGTAGATGGAAAGAAACAAAATTTTAAGATTTTATTTGATATTAATTTCCCACATAATTATATCATCCAGTATCTATTTCCGATTCTGAACTTGAATTACCACCAGAACTCGAATGTTTGCAATCTCTCCCTTCAAATCAAAAAGTCACTAGGGATGACACAGTTTTACAAATAATTGAATACTGGTAATTTTTATGTAATTTCAGGTGATTTGAAATTTCTGTTGAATAATATTAATTATAAACATGACTTCAAGATTTAATATTATCCATAACCTTGTTGAATTTCAGGGGAATTGTGGTAACTGTGAAAGAGTCTGAGATGAAAATCCTATAAGTCATATGTTTTTGTTTGTCGACATTTATTCTACATCGAATTTGGCCAGAGTATAGACTCTTACATCCAATATAAGTAGAAGTTAACAGACAAATAACGTAACAATTACTAAAATATTCAAGTACATTTAAGTCATCGTCTTGCTCAGTTAGAACTATGGATCTTTCTCATTATATTTGGCAAAGAATTGATTGAAATCTTAGCTTAATAGCTTAAAATTGCTGTCTGTCTACTGTACTGTAAGTCTTAGGGGAAGTCGGACTAAAGTAATATTTATAGAAATATAAAATATACGATAATCTTACTTTAAACCCAGAGTCGAAAACAATGTGATCCAACTTTTTAACAAGTTTTTTAGTCCTATTACAGTGCAAATTTCTCATAAAAACCTCCATTATACCGTTCTTAGTGTCCCGATCTACGCGTTCAGTTGCATTTACTACACGTGGAGCTAATATTTTTAAAATTCCCTTTTCTGCAACAATAACAATATCAGTATGATACTAATATATCTATAGATTATACCTAGTTACATTGTCGAATTTCAATATAAAGAGAATGCCAAAAAAGAGAATCCCAAAAAAGAGGACACGCCGAAGTTTTTGAATGTTATAAGTATATAATAACAAAATTATTTTTTTAAGTTTTTAGATTTACTTTATCTACAAAATAATATCCAAAGTAAAAAATAAAACATCTCCCACTGCTTACCATACAATATAGAGCGGCGTACAAGAGAGGAAAATAGAAGTGAGCATAGAAAAAGTAACAAGAAGTCACAATTACAATATTTATTTCTCGAAAAACACTTTTCATTTCATAAAAAGTTAGCTAAGATCAACGACTTGCAATCTATAGACAAGAACATTCACAGCAACTCTATATTCCAAACAAAACACTATCAATAGTGACACTGTTTTGTTTTTAACCGCCTTCAAAAAAGGAGCAAGTTCTCAATTCGACTGTATGTGTGTTATGCGATAACTCATTTGGCATTTGTGCACCGATTTTGATGATTCTTTTTTGTTGGAAAAAATGTTTCTCAGGATTGGTCCCATTTAAATTTGAAGAAAATATTACACCTCTAAGGGCAGCCATACACGGACCGCTCGAGCAGTTAGCCAATGACCAACATACACAGACTGCTCTTGCAGTCATAGTCAACAGCTTGAGGCTACTATTGATAACTACTGGAGCAGTTGATACCAACTACGGCAGTTGGTATCAACTGCTCAACAAGTGACAATTTCAATTTCATTCAAATCAGTAGCAACATGGATTTTAAGGAAGAAGCACTACTACTACTAGTTTTGCTCAGACGACGACCGCGGCGGCTTAGAGTTTGCTGCTGCGAAATTACGCGAGTGACATGGAATGAAGAGCGCGGGGGGAGGTAACTGCGCGAGAGCAGTGGACAGCTCGAACAGTCAGTGTATGCCTGGTGACGGCTTGATTGCACGATGAAATTTCACCGCGCTGCAAACCACCCCAAGCAATCAAACTGCTCGAGCGGTTTGGTGTATGTGTACATAGAAGATTGTACTTTGCTATGTTGTATACTGCACTGAGATTATAGTGTTGAATTTCATCAAAGAGTACCAGTACCGTAGTACCACAGTCTAATCAATATGTTCATTACACTGTGGTAGTACCGTGACCAGACGCGACAATCTATACTTGTTGGGAATGAGCCAGATAGGCAGGTATTATTGAGTGTTTACCAATGATATTTATCCATAGTTGGGGAATTAACGTAAAGCCCCTGACAAAGTCGCTATTAGCTGCACAATACATTTCATTCTGCATTGACGCAGGGGCCTTCCTCTTACTATTTATATTTATTATATTACTAAAAAGAAAAACAAATTAACTAAAAAAAAATACAATCGAGTTGTTGAAATTATTGTTGTTACGTTATGTTATGTTATGTACTTTCATTGCGGAAAAGTAATGCTCTTTAGAACATGCAGCTTAGTCTTTTCTATGTTTATATAATGGTAACCACAGTAACTATTTTATTCATATTACCCCAATTCTGTTATTGTGTAGTCAGAACACTCTATTGCTTATTAATCTATGATACTGAAATGTTGTGTCTTCACCGCACGTCAGTGAAACATAACTTGTATATGGAACGCCGCATCTACGCTACGCTATGTACGATAGTACATAGATATCCGTTGGCTAAGATATGTAAAATGTCAAAATAAATAACGAAAAATTACCTATATAAAGTGCATTTATAGTTCACTGTAGTCTTACAACTTTGATAAATACCATTTTATTACGAAGTTACGTTATACACTTACAAGTTTGCAAAAATATCCGATAAAATATGGCGGACAATGTCAAATAATCGCAGAAAATAACTTTTACACACTACACATAAAATTCACTTACTTAACGTCCACTGTTGCCTTACAATTTGATTGGACAGTTTTTTCACTCATGGAGCTTTACCGATAAATCAAAAGCAGTTTTATAGAAAATAAGAAAATTTCAATTAATAATTGCAACTTTTTCATTGAAAAAAAAAACCGACCTCGAAAGTTTGCTTGTTGGCTTATTCCGATTTCCATGGGGTCCCCTCATCAGATTCTGACTTCTTAGTGACAATGAGACTGTTATGGACTCCTGTGTACATTTTATACTTTTTTCTGGTTGTCGTGGTGACGGTGATTTGTTAATTACATGTATCAAGTGTCAAATGAAAAGTCGACTTGCGGAAAATATTTTTTTTAATTTGTGATAGCTGAAACGAACCCGGAACAGCATCGTTGGCATAAGGGACTACCTCGAAAGTATACCCTTTCAAACAAAAAAATAGTTTTAAAATCGGTCCATAATTCGTGGAGAAATCGGTATGTCATTAAAATTTGAGGATTTTCATCGATTTCCATGGGATCCCCTCATCAGATTCTGACTTGTTGACAATGGGAACACCGGGAGAGTGCACCCTTTCAAACAAAAAATGAATTTTCAAAAACGGTATACAATTGACGGACAAATCTGAAAACATACATACAGCCGAACGTAAACCTCCGCCTTTTTTTCAAGTCGGTTAAAAAGAGTGAAGTACCTGTCACTGTTTTATCGTATTTGTTTCGATTTTTTTTGCATTATTTTGACTATGTTGGTAGCTTTGAACATAGCTAAACTATGTATTGGCTCTTGTCCCAATAGAAATTTGAAAACGCCGTTACCGTGGCCGCCATAACTGCCTGGACTATATTTATGGTACGGACTATACCTATGTATAGTGGTGACACTAGGGGTGATATAAGTTATTGCATATAAGTTATAGCCTACCAATCAGTGTAACTAACAAAATTTAAAATGTGAAAATGTGAAAAGTGAATGAATGAAAAAACCAATTCAAAAGATCTGTAACAAACACTTAAGAAATCGTAACGTATACTGACTCGATCAGCACCTCGGTTTGTAGAACGGTGGCCCTAGTTTGGCATACAAACGCAGGTTCAAGTCTTGTCAGATTGAAGAGATTTTTCTTTGTGTTCGTTCTTTGTACTAATAATAATTATAACTAACCAGTGGAGTAATTTCACAAAAAAAAAATAATATCATGGCAAAACCTGGGCTTTGTCTCACGCTCGAGGTTACGCGAAAAGTGCCTACCGCTGCCGCTGACTGTATCGCCTTCAGTGCAAGCGCTCAGAGGGTGTTGCACGCACATCTGTATGGTCGTATGGTACGTTCCGCTACGCTAGCCCCATGGAAGTTGGAGACTCATTCCTTTTCCAAGGATTGTGAATCTTCTTCGACGTGCAGTTTCATTATAATATTCTTCTTCACCGTTAGCGAGAGAAACTTTCACAAATGTACATAACTTCGAAAAGTCATAGGTAATAAATAAAGGTAATTTCAAATTTCTATATTATATATAATTGATGATTAAACGAACTTACCTGTACGTGAAGTTCTATCGTAATTACTCGAAGAGCTTCGTTCGAAGATATTAGCATTCATACACAATGTAGTTTCACATATAGACTCGTCGTTTCGCACTTTAATTTGGAGAAAAAGAAAATAAAAAAATATGTGGGTAGTACAGGTGGGTAGTACTCACTGTGGTGGGACTCGGAGCTGTCATTTAGTTTGGAGAAATGCTGAGCTGTTAAACATAATATTTCACGATGATGGTTTCAAGGTGGGAGGATGCTAATACCTTCGAAAAGCTCTAACCTTTGGCATGCCTGGTAGGGTCTATCAGACCCACCACTTCAAAAAACCGACGTTATTTTGTAAAATTTGAAAAAAACGGTGGCGTGGGCTTCAGTAGCTTCGCTTAATCAACGAACGGCCATTTTGCCGCCCCTTCCTCAGTCCTCTGCGTGCGCGCGTCTGAGTAGTACGTGCATTATTGCGTGCAGGCCTGTGAGACCCCACCAGGCATACGGCGTAACACTTCATCTGTAAGTAACTTTTTTTTATTTTTTGTTATATCCTTGACTAGTGTAGTAAATTATTCATAAAAATAATATTGTTACAGTAAAAAATGGCTAGAAGACTGAACTGTTTAGAAATCAGTAAAATTTTGGAGATAGAAGAGGACGAAAATGACGTGACTTTTGATGAAAGTGGGAATGAGTCTGATCGTGTTAGTATACGAAATGATTCAGACGAGGAGGCGGTGGAAGAGGTTACCATTGAGCCTCAAGATGAAAGTAGTGTTAGCGATGATGAGATGGACCAGTCAATATCAAATTTTGCTCACAGAGCTGTTTACAAGGGCAAAGACAACACAATTTGGTACCGTGATCCTCCAAACTCGCGCGTCCGCACAAGAAGTGAAAATATTGTCACTGGAACACCAGGAGTAAAACCTGAAGCAAAAAATTCTCTACTTTTTGAGATTCGACGACTGTGATACGCGTGATGAAAGGGCAGCTATTGATAGATTGGCACCTATTAGAAAATTATATGAGGACTTTGTAAAAAACTGTAAGGAAATTTACACCCCGTACGAAAATTTAACGATCGATGAAGAACTTGTTGCATTTCGTGGTCGATGCAAGTTTCGCCAGTATATACCCAATAAGCCAGCAAAGTATGGGATAAAAATTATTGCCCTTGTTGATGCCCACACATACTATTCCTTGAATATGGAGATTTATGCAGGAGAACAGCCCGATGGGCCATACAAAGTGAGTAATAAGGCACATGATGTTGTTGATCGTATAGTCCAACCGATCTCTCAAACAGGACGAAACGTTACAATGGACAATTGGTTTACGAGCTATCCTACATACGACCACCTATTGAAAAATCATAAACTGACTGCAGTTGGAACTATAAAAAGCAATAAAGCCTGTATCCCATCAAAGTTCCATGAACGTCGTGAGATAAACACCACGCTCTTCGGATTCCAAAACGATTTGACAATTGCATCTTATATTCCAAAACGAAATAAAAATGTGTTCATGCTCTCATCTCTCCATCATGATAGTGAGATAG